GCAGATCTTGTTTATACCAAAGATAAGAAGTTTAAATCAATTTAATAACTTCTTTATTTATTGCTACCTAGATTGGCAAAATAATAGAAAATAAATATCATATATATTGTCGCTAATATCTGCATCATATTATAGGTGACAGCGGCACTATTTAAACTACGCCACGGATGCTTATATGAAGAATACGTGACTTTTTTCACAAGAATGTTGAACTTTGCGAGAAATATAAGCATATAGGAAAAAACTTCGATAGGTTGTGGGTGTAGTTAAAGAGATCTCTACACTCACACCCCACACCCGCAAGTTTTATTGGTAAGACGAATAGCATAATATATAGAAAAACAATGTTTGCATGTCATTGGGAAAACAATCCGATTGACTTTCAGAATAACGCATCAAGATGAACAAAAGTATTTTAAGTATCACGACGATAACATATGATGATTCATACAAATAGTTTCCCACACGTCCAATATAAAATCCGAAAACAGTCACAATACTAGCAAGTGGAACATATGAACCTTCGATGAACCAAAAAAGAAAGTTCATATATGTTATTGGATAGTTGTTATTTACAAAACCAAGCCATGTGTAGATAAAAGCGAAAAGTACATAAATAAATATCGTTGCCATTTCTTGTTTCAATAAAGAAATAATAGATGTGTATCTTTCTCTTGGTTGAAATAACTGTAGACGATTATTATCTATCATGTTCAATAAACGATTTGAAAAGGGATGATTGAATAATATAATGATGATAAAAAAAGGACAAATAATATAAATGTAGAGAGCAACTTCAATGAACGATGTAACAAGGAAATGAATGAATAGCCAATGTTTTATGTTCATAACACATGACATGTATTCGTAATCGATTGATGATGACATGTCAAGTAAGGACACAATGGTTTCATTTATTGATAGCATTGATAGAATCTTTTAATGATTCGTACCTTTCTTTGTTTATTTCTATGGTCATGTTGAATGTTGTTTATGTTAGAGAAGAAATCTTAGAATACAAAAATGTTGATCGTCCTTTTCGCATATTTTAATATTGTCGAGTCTATGGTAATCTGAAAATAGACGATAACAACTCATAGTTTTTCTTTTTTGTGTTTCCTTTAACTTTTTTCTCATCACATTGTAATCTTTTTTGTATAGTTTTTCTCTTTCAATGAAAACTAATCAAAAATTGGTTGATCATACAAACATGTAGTAATTCTAATAAAGACATAACTATTTATTCTCGTAATAATTCTCTTTAAAATTCTAAACTATTTGTTACTGGAAATATTTACAATCAAGTTAGTCCATGTAACTTTATAAAAGTATATATGTCGGTAAAAAAAAACGATTCAATTGTGAGAACTTTTTTTTCGAGCCTCAGTTTAAGTATAAATTTCACTTAGTTCTTATAGTATGATTAAATAAAGTCTATTTTATCTTAAAGAAGTGAAACACAAACAGATGCAATAGCTATGATTCTGTCGCAATATCCAAGCTTCTCTCTATATAAAAGATGTTCGTAATGCATTCTTTACTGAAAAATAAAATTTCGATGCGAGAAAAATAGTTTAATTATTGCTTACTGTTCTGTTTTCTTTCGAAACTGAACTTGTATTGAAGAAAGAAGATGATAGTATTTCTTTGTTGAACCAATGAAACAATTTTTCAATATAATTCTGTTGAATTTTCATCTAAAACAATTTTATTCAATGTCTTTGCTTACATGGTAATCATCGGATATGAGAAGGATATGTTTTTTAAATGAGATTTTTATTAAGAAAACAGGATCTACGAACTTCAACTATTCTTATTAAGCATTACATTTAACATTGATGTGATGTTGTTTTTTTTAATATAATGACAACTCTTTGATGTAAAGTAATCATTTCAAAATTATTCATCCTCAAGAGACTTGAAAATGATTAATTGTGAGTTAGAACCATGGTTTATTTGGAAATCTATGTCTTACAAAGAGATATTCCAAGAGTTATAGAAACCTATTCAATCTGTTGTACTCATGGGAAGAAACTAACAAGAGAACTATCCAAACTAATATGGGCTTCTGAAGCCGAGTTATAACCGTTTTACTGAATCTTCGATCTAGCTTTAGGTATTTATCTAAAAATCAAATAATGAAGTTTCAATCTGAAATTTTTTCCACAGACAGGTTTGATAACTCTGTAAATATCCTAAAAGTTTTAACAGAAAAGAATGTTTTCTTGTCGAAATATTGAATTTTCAAGTAAACTAGATTTTTGTGACGAACAATAATTTCTTTTAGAAATTCAATATATTATTTGATTTGTGGATATGTGTTTTAAGCTGGATCGAAAATTCAGTAAAACAGTTATAATTCGATCCAACAGGCTCATGGGCACGAATCATTCTAGAATTTTTTTAGTCTTATTGAGACCTCTTCATGAATCCAATATGACTTTCAACGATTGATATCAGTTCGAGTAGTTCTCTCGTAAGGATCTTTTAAGATTTAAAAGATTTCATGATAGTTCACAATACTTATCGGATCATCAAAAAGCTTGGAGAGATTCATTGAACTCAGAAGACTTCGACATATTCATTACACTCCAGAAAATATGAGAAGCAGAGGTTTTGCGGTCAGAGAGAGAATAAATATTGCAAGTAGAAATATTATGCTTATATTTGAAAGAATGTATTTGTACTTTAGTATAAAAAATTTATGAGATACTTTTATTTGCGATAGAAATAAAATAAATTTCGTCAGTAAGGTTGATGACCTCTAATAAATTTTTAAAGATCGTCGTAACTTTATCTGATTAAAAAGTAAATGACGATAGAAATATTTTATTCTAAGTTTTTAGTCTTATTTGCTAATAAATTTATTGCAGATTACTAATGGAATTGATCTACTTTCATTGTTAAACTTAATATCATCACTAAATATAGTTCTACGAAAAACTAAGAAAAAAAACGACGTAAATTTAGATTTATCATTTATCACTTAAAAACAAATTATAATTTTGTTTTGTTTTCGAATTAGCAATGGAATTTTTCAGATATTTATCGGAGGAAATTTAATCTGAAATTTTGATGAAAGATTTGATCAGTATATCTTAGAACTGATTGAAAATTTAGATTAGAACAAGTATATCTTTTTAAAAAATATACGAAAGTTTAAATAAATGCAATTCATCTGATTTATTTTGATTGATGACTAAAATTTTCAAAAATATAATTAACTTAACAAATCATCTGAAAAATACCTGACTCTTGGAGACTAATCGTTTTAAAATGAACAAGTTCCGTTTCCATTACAATACACCAAGAACATGAAAAAAAAATTATAAAAATAAATAATGTAAGATTTGAGACAATACAAAGAATGTTGAAATACTTTTAAATAGTTATTAAATTCACATAGATATACGAATACACGATTGAACTACCTAATCGATTATCTGTCGTTGATGATAGTAGTGAAATGCTCAAGATCTAAAATTTTGCTCTTCCTGGTGCTAAAACCCATGTCGTAGGTTTGTTCACACTATCATCGGTGTATTGCAGCACTCGTAAGAGTCAGCAGTAGTACCTATGACTTTCGATTTCCGTTATAAACGATTTCAGAGAGTGTTTTCTACTCTAATTGGAATCATTTATTGGAAAGAATTTAAATCAACCGAAAAGAAAACAATTTTAGAATATATTTTACTAATAAAAACCCAATGCAACCAAATCATCGCGATTAATGATATACGAGATGACATTACTACTATCAGAATTTTAAAAGAAGGCATCTGGAAAAAAAGTTTATAACTTTCGAACGAAAAGTCATAGCGACCTGCGATTTTCGGCAATCGATAGAAGATTATAGGGGGCACATTTTTATATAAAAATCAAGGTTTAAATAATTAGTGATTGTGGAATCACTGAAAGAGTGGGCTCGTTATTTTGTGAAAACTCAGCAGAAGAAGCTGAAACTTCCAGCATATATAGCCCAACTGTACTCCAATCTTCGCTGAAAATATCATCGATAAATCTTGTAATGACGAGGTTTGGTGAGCCAATCATCATCTGGTCTTACATAAGGCACTCATTCACTCAAAATATTAGGAAATGGCCTCAACTTTTGGTTGAATAAATATCATAATCTAGACTTCATATCTATGCAATAGCATCGCACTTTGAGCGTAAAAATGTACGATAATAGCCAAAATTCGACAAAGAAATGATTTTCATACAATAAGTATTTTAAAACAAATCTTTCCAACTTTCTTAAGAGAAATGCAGAACTTAGTAATATTTTCACCGTCTCTTCTCGTTCATTTAATCAAACTATGATATAATTGCATAGATATGAAGTCTAGATTATGATATTTATTCAACCAAAAGTTGAGGCCATTTCCTAATATTTTGAGTGAATGAGAGTCTTATGTAAGGCCAGATGATGGTTGGCTCACCATTCCTCGTCATTACAAGATTTATCAATGATATTTTCAGCGAAGATTGGAGTACAGTTGGGCTATATATGCTGAAAGTTTCAGCTTGTTCTGCTGAGATTTCACCAAATAACGAGCCTACTCTTTCAGTGATTCCACAATCACTGATTATTTAAACCTTGATTTTTATATAAAAATGTGCCCCCTATAATCTTCTATCGATTGCTGAAAACCGCAGATCGCTATGACTTTTTGTTCGAAAGTTATAAGCTTTTTTTCCAGGTGCCTTCTTTGAAAATTCCGATAGTAGATTAGATCATTTTAGAAGCAAAAAGACAATAACAAAATTATAAAGCATGCCTTCTTTTCTTACTGACGCGATTTCATATTGTCAATCAACTATTCTTTATATAAAATGTCGACGTATGAATACTTTTGAAAAATATCTTTTCGAATCATAATGCTAAAAATCTATATAATCTTGGAATTGAATCCATCTAAAATTCTTTTTTTTAAATGTAAAAATACAAATCTTACATGTTCATTTAGTATAAAAATAATATAAAACTTTTTTATCAGTCATATTAACGGTAAGTTATCTAAAGGACATTGTATAGAAAATTCTTTTAAATATATTTCAATACAATGCACATGAAATATATGTGTACATGGTAACGATTTAATTGTTTGTCCAAGAGTATATGCTTCCATACATATTGTACATTGATCATTTAAATGTGTTTCACTAACATTCAAAGTTGGAAATTTATCTAGAATATTTACATCAACTGTTTTACGTTGTACACGTTCATCAAGTCTTAATAACATTTCATAATCATTTGGAGAACTAAATATAAAAAAGAAAATAATTAGACAAAGAAAATGAATTTTAAACAAAATTTATAATAATTACAGATCACGATTTTGCATGTCAAGAAGAAAATTAATCATAGCATCATCAAAACATGGATCATTTAAAATATTATTTTCATTAATTGTATATTCTCGAAGTTGATTTGTAACATTAGATGTATTATTATTATTATTGTTATTATTATTATTATTATTATGAATAGTTTGTTGTTGGACTTGGCTTTGACGATTAGAACCAATTCGAAGATGACGATGTTCATAAACAAGGGATCGTAAAGCTTCAAATGAGTATAATGGAGTTGATGGATTCGAAGGTAAATAATTTCGACTTGGTTCATCAAGTACAACACGTTTAACTAATCGATGATGCATATACAATTGTTTATTATGTGATTTAATTTTAATATTTTTAGCATGTTTTGTTTTAATCTGACAATGTGCATTGATTTTTTTATTCGAACGTTTTGAACGTTGATAATTTTTTTCTTCAAACTGTTCAGCTAAATATAATTGTTTTCTATTTAAATGATTATTAATAAATATATCATCATTATTATTATTATTATAAAAATATTCTAAATCATCATCACTATCATCATTTGGACAACTAAATTGAGCAAAATAATCTGCATCATCTTCTTGTTCTAATAAGTTTTCTTCAGAACTAAATAGTAAAACATAGAAAAAAAAATCAAATAAATCAAATAATTTATTCTACCTATTATTCTCACTACTAATTATTGATGCTGAAGATGATACAATAACATAATCATCAAGATTACTTTCTTGATCACTACTAGTACTATTTGATTGATAATAATGCGAGTTAATATCTTCCTTTGTTGACATAACCTTTGCACAATCCATAGCACCTGATGGTAAACAAATAGGAAGTAACTCTACATTGCTATGCATCTTCTACACGTTAGATAAACTATTATAATGTATGTATGAGAAAAAAAAGGACACTCTTATTTAAAGAAAATTACGAAAGACTCTTGCATAATTTCGATATATGATGAAATAACACTTGTCATGGATGTATATCTAATGATGCTTAGACAGAACGGGGAAAAAACAAGGTATACTCAGTTATGACTCAGTCGTTATGTGTTTTTTTTCTAAAATGCATATTCATTTTTCTGTTATTTGTTTTCATCATTTTTCATTTTACAAGCAAAACGAATAACACACAGTTTTTCTTTCTGTACATTCAAAGAAGTATATCATATGGAACAAGAAACGATAATGGAAAATCAAACAGAAAGAAAATAAAACGAAAATTTATTACAAAGACAAAACTATTCAAATTGTTTTTGTAGATTACAAAAACAAGAGAACAAAACAAAAAAAGAAAATATACATAAAATAAGTATGAATCTTTTATATGTAAATAAGAATATTCACCATGAGTTCATTATTTAAAGAGATTTAATATCCCTCCCAAACAAACAACAACAAAAAAAAAATGATTCACTATTATAAAACAAAAAAAGATCACCGGTGAGATATAAAATAAACAAAATAATCAGATTATGGTGTATAAGAAGTTGTCGTTGAAACAGTTAAATGTTGAGCATTTAAAGGATCTGTATTAGAATGATATGGTGCTGGTGTTCGATGATGATAATGTGTTCGATAAAATGGATAAGGTGGACGAATAAAATGTTGTTTTGGTTGTGGTTGTAAATTATGATGATTAATATCATAATCCATTTCATATTCATCCTTATCAATATTATATAATCCTTCCGATGATGCTGATGATGATGATGTTGAAGATTTAGTTTGTATATTCGATGATATAAATGGATTTTGTTGATGTTCTTCTCGAATAATATGAAGTCCAGTTGAATTTGTTGGAGACGGAACAGCTTCAAAAAAACAAACAAAAAAACAACAAATTTATAAAAAAATTAATTAAAAAAAAAAAAAAGAACTTCATACCAGATCCTCGTCGCATTGTTATTGGTGATTCATTATTATTATTATTAATTGAATACTAAAATAAAAATTGTTTTTTTTTATCTGTCTTTTTTATTCTAATATAATACTTTTTGTATTTGTTTTTGAAGTTGATGTAATTCTTGTAAACTTGATGTTGTTACATCATCATCATGATGTGATTTTGAGTCAACAGCATTATGATATAAACCTTCAAGATGTGCTTTTGTTGAACTATTTATTAAATTTGAACTAGTATCACTAGCACGACGTGATAATGAACCACGATCTTTAGCTGTTTCACGTGTACTACGACGTGCTTTACCACCAAGTACTGAACCTTGTTCACATACAGTATGACGTTTACCACTATTGAGATATCTGTAAATTAAAATAAACGAAAATGAATTGTTCAATTGTAAAATCTCCTCCCTCTGAAATAAATGGCCATGGGTTCTACAGAAGGTTTTTTCGAAAATATAGCAAATTTTAGCATCTAAAAATCCATTTTTTGAGTAAGATAGTGTTTTTTTTCTACTATTCATTTCAAAATATAATGTACTTTACTATTTTTTGAATAACTTTTGATAGAAACATCATACAGATCTGCAGTTTCTACTAATCAAGAGAGAACACTCGGAACTATTGAAATTCGATTGGTCAGCAATAAACTAATCGGATGAGCCATTGGTGGAGAATTTCGAAAATGATATTCTGAAGCTATTTCTCTTTCGATCTATGCAAAGCCTATATTATGAGCTTATTTCATTCGAGAGTTATAAGGGATAATTTACCATGCTGAGTCGAATGGTGATATTTGTTTTTAATTTCGAACTGATCGGACATTGTTATCTCGATATTTTCGACATGTCGACTTCTTCATTATACGGAAGCTGAGTGTAGAATTTCAGAAATATTGAGATAACAGGTTCAGATCAGTTCGAAACTAAAAGCAAATATTACTATTCGACTCAGCAGCATGAATTACTTCTACTTAACTGTGAACACAGGTCAATTGACTGACATAGCTTCAGAATATCGTTTTTGAAAATCTTCACCAAGGACTTATCTGATTGATTTATTGCTGACTAATCAAATTTCGATATACTTTGATAGGCCCGGGTTTTGTCTCTTGCATGATGAAAACTGCAGGTCTCTATAATGTTCCTAACAAAAATGATTCCAAAAATTGTGGAGTACATTGTATTTTGAAATGTATAGTAGTAAAACAACAACAAGTGTTTTTCGTAGCCAAAATCTTTAGTTTTCTAGATAAATATTATCGAAAGCCTAACCAGGAATAGAAGGTCATGGTCGTTTATCCTGAAAAGAGAGAAGTTTAGTGGTAACTAACCTTGTAAGTATTTCATTATCTTCGTCATCACCATTTTCATTCGTTTCATGTTGTGTCATAGAAAATATTGGTGGTGTTATCGGTGCACCACGTGTAATACTACCACGTGATGATTGCTAGAAAATAGAAATAATAGTTTTTTTTTAATTTCAATTTGTTTTTTGTTGTTTACATTGGATACAGGAGAATTTATATGTGCCAATTGAATAGGATGAATTGTATTTGAATCAGTTACATTATGTTGTTGTTGTTGTTGCTGTTGTTGTTGAAATAGAAGTAGATGAGCACCACTATCACTTGCTCGTCGATTTAAATCTATTAGAAAAGAATAAAATTTTATTTTCCAAATTTTTAATTTTCTTTTAAAAATGTTATATTATTTCTTTTCTTTTTTTCGCTCTGTGAATCATTATATAAAAGTATGTTTTTTTGTTTTTATTCTTAAGAGGTCAACAAATGTTTCATTTTATCGTTTTCTTAATAGAATATTTGTTTGAATATTTTCATTGATTTCAATCTCAATGACATTTTATTTTCTTTTGACGTCATTGAAATATCTAGGACTTATTTTATTGATCGTTTATTTTCAGCTGCGGCCTCATTTATTTTATCTAGGTCATTTTGACTCTAATAATGTTTTATATATAATTTCAATCATATGAATATTTCATGCTTATCCTAATCTTGCAATAATACTCTATTCCTAATTTTGATCTAAATAATATTGCATGTCTCATTTTGATTCATATAATGATTTAAATTTACTTTAATCTCAAGAGAATTTCATATCTACAAGCTCAATCTTAATGATCTTTTTTACTATTAGAGTTTATTTTCAACGAAAAAATTTTATTGTTTTTGTGTTTGATTTTTATAAATAACATACTGAAATTATTTAAAATTGGTGGTGATAACCAATTATTTTTTTGTTGTTGATAATAATTATCTGAAACAGCTGCTACTGTTGATTGTACAGATAAACCATTATAACTTGTTGAATGTGGATTTCGTTGATGATAAATAGATATTTGTGGTTCAGAATAACATTCATCATGATCATCATCAGCAGCTGTTATCAATGCATCATATTGTTGTCGTTGTTGAAGATGATTAAGTCGACTAGTTAATAATGATGGTTCTATAGTTGGTGCTTGATAAGAATATCGAGCATTTGATGTAAGTGCTGGATTAACTTCATTATGTACAAATAAATGTGGTCGAACAATAGTATGTCGTCGTAAACCATGTGTTTGAGCATATTCTTCATGTATTCGTTTTGTTGTTTCTTCATCATCATCATCTTCTTCATCAGTATAATTATCTAGATCATCAATATGAATATCTGGATCACATGGATGTAAAGATTCATTCTAAAGCAAAATCATTAAAAAAAAAAAAATTTAAATTTAAAATAATAATATTTCATTTATTTTATTTTTTTACATTTTTCGAAGGACAATAAATTAAATCTGTATTATGATGTTCATCTAATTCTACATAATTTGGAATATGAGAATCTAAAAAGAATTCTTTCTATGAATAAATAAATAAAAAAAAAAAAGAATTTTTTTTCTTTACTATTTATTTGACATGTTTGTTGGAATTTTTCTAATAATAAATGCCATATAGCTGCATCACTATCATAAGAATTTCCATTAACTGATTTTAATATTTGTGTACGATTATAACCAAGTAATTCAGCATGATCAAGTATAGCATTAGTTAATTGACTATTTAATATTGATTGTGTTTGAGATGTTAAATCAGATATATTTGAATTATTTAACATTAACCATGAATGATTTTTAATATCATTTATTGTATAACGTTGTTCAGGATCAACTGTTAACATATGACTAATTAACGAACTACAATCTACAAAAGAATAAAATAAAATAAAATAAAAATTTTCATATAAATTTATTTTACCTGAACTAATATAAAATGGTAAACGAAATTGTCCGACAAGAACACGTTTTCGTAATTCAGCAAGATTATTACTATCGAAAGGTAAATGACCACAAACAAATACATAAAGTAAAACACCAAGAGACTAAAATTTAAATAGAAAAAAAAAACACATAGACATTTATTTGTTGTTTAATTCGATTCTTTTCTTTACCCAAACATCAACTTTTTCTGGTGAATATGGAAGACATTGAAAAAGTTCGGGAGCTGCATAACTAAAAGAAACAATATATATATAATCAAATGATAAAATAAATGGCAACCCCTTCCCTTTTTCGTAACTCAAAAAAAAGTTGTTTTTTTTTCAGTTTTAATTCTTTATAGTCTAAAGTCTCTTTCTTTTTTGTCTTAAAATAATGTTCTGGTGAATTTTTGGCAGATCTTACAGAATTTTTCCTTAGCAAAAAAAACACGTTTTTTTTTCGACAGTACTTCTAGTATTTGTAATTCTCTTAGGCGAAGGAAATGATATTTTTTTTGAAGGATCATACACCTCAATTTGGTTCTAGTTATTATAAAAAAATGAATTCTGGTTGTTTACGGAGGAGACAACTACAGGTCATTTTTTGGCAATTGTGTCTCCTGTATCTCATATATGGGAATTCTGAGTCTATGACAACTTTTACTCTACTAATCGACATCTATCTAC